TAGAGGAATGAAGGAGAGAGTGGAATGGACACGAACTGTTAGCGTGAATCATCTACGCTTCGTATATGGATGTGTGAGGGTGTTGACGTGTGTATCAGAGAGCGATGATGTCGATGAAAATGACGGGACGGCGAAGGAGGTCCTTGCGGCCCACTGGTTAGGCAGGCCACCCACCGAAGCAGGCTTAATACTGCGTAACGAAGTAACCACCTCCATTGCCCGACGAACAACTACTGTGAATTCTCAATGATCAACTCTTCTCACCATACAAGTGTGAACCAATCAACACACAATATGCACATCATTGGTCATTCAATATTACACTGATCAAACAAGTATGCGTCAATCCATGCCTTGTTCACTCGGTCATTCATTGATACAGTTGTTGAAATGCAAACCGACCCTCTCTACCACTTACCCTGTGTATAGTCAACAGTGTGTGACACATCATAACGACACTGGCATTTCACTGGAATATGGGTGTTAACTATCAATAAGACGAAGGTGAGAAGATATGACAACAAATTGAAAATTTGACCATCCGATTTGTCCTACTCATCAGTAGTATGGTGTGACATGTGAAAGAAAAAACCACCACCAAACTGACCGACTGCCTGACCTAACAGTTCACATGGCAGCTGACATTGAGTAACCCGGTTATAACAACAATTACACTTCTCAACATCACAACATCTCACCCATTCCCACTCTCTTGTCACCAGAACAACAGAACATCAATATCGATCCAGTCCGTAGACTCCAAATCCATCATCTACAGTTAATCGAACTGATATTTCAAAGATATTTGACAATGTTTATTGAGCTATCCCACTAACGAAACCAAGATGTGCGTGTCCTGTGCTCAGTCAATACCATCTCGATTTCGATGGAGTAAACGGGGTATCACTGCTCTCCAGTGTTTCACTCCATTGTGTAATCTTAGAGGTATATTCACACCAATTTGTGTATTCCCACTACAATCGATCGACTGTGTGTCACGGAGTATGACAATTGGGCGACTGTGTTCTTTTTCATTCCTTCGTCTCACACATCATCTTCAACACAGATCCAATGCTAGTCGACTGTTTTGCACCCATCACCAACACTGAACTGTTCGTCAATTAATCAGACAAAACCACACCCACACACACACACACACACACACACAGTATGATCCTGCGTATTGTGTCTCTCATGTAACTACAACTCACGCACTCATTTGTAGATTACCAATGTTGGTGGTGAGTCTACTCGAGCTGAAAAGGATTGGTGTAGCCTCGTAGCTTACATCGAAGTCACACCTCACGATAAGTACATAACTTGGCTTAGACTATCGTGATAACCAGGCAATGCGGCTCCCTTAATGACTGTCTAGAAAGAATGGAATCTTGCCGAAAAGCATAGTTTATCGGAGAGAACAGACTACAGAGGTACAGAGTAATGACGCTGCCACATGAACTAGTCTGTGATATCCGACTGATTCATCCGCATCAGTCATACTCGACCTTGATGATGTTGAGCGAATTGTTGAACGTAAAACACGGTCCGACTCGATGGAGGATTTGTCTAGAACTCAATGGCACTCCACTGGCCCTACACATTGAAGCATATAATGGATTCGTGTCTCTCCACATTTCCATCCACAAAGCCAATGGACTGAACACTCTTCAGTAACTGTTCCCCAAGTGTTTCCGTGTTAACCGTAACATTCTGTCAATTGTCGGTTATAGAAATTCTTTCAGATTCCATATGCAACCATTAATTTGATCTGTTTTACTTCTGTGTTGAGAATACCACAAAGAATTCCCACTGGCCACCAATCACTGGGATAAAGAAATCATTAGATTAGTAACTGACTAACTATCTAACTAACCATACAGAGATTGAAATAAATAGAGAGTCTTCACTCGACCTTTATGTCACTGATGAATGTGCACAGAAAGAGTACAGAATGAAGGAAGTGGCAGTGCTTAACCGGCTTGTTATATCGATTCAAACGGTCGACTGTCAACACTGAAAATGGGATATGTGTGGACGTGTGCGTGTGCGTGTGCGTGTTCATCTGCAACACACATAGCAATGTCGGAGCAAGTCTGGAGAATTTGGAGATCATATGGGAGACCAATGGAGGAGCAGTGTGTGAATGGTATAGAAAGGCGATATTTCATCGTCTTCTCCACATTGTCCACCTCATCACTGTCTTACTTCCACACCTTCTCCCATAATGTTCGCACTCATGATTGGCGTGTTCTGGGACGAGTCACCTGTTCATGTCGAAGGTAGTAGAGGAATGAAGGAGAGAGTGGAATGGACACGAACTGTTAGCGTGAATCATCTACGCTTCATATATGGATGTGTAAAGTTTGTGTTTTCTCCATCAGTGCGTTATTTTTCATCTGATTTTGATACTTTACTTTTTGTCTCCTATTGCTCTTTGTTTTCCTATATATATATATTCCGGTAATTTTTTATCTTTTCGTTTTCTTGCTTGCGCTTTCTTGGTAATTTTTGATTGCTTTTTTCGTCAGTTAATCATCTTTTGCGTTGTCATTGATTGTCTCATATTTGTGATAATGCTTTTTTTGTTGATACTTCCAATGGAATACTTAATTTGATTGTGCTTGTATGTTCTCTGTCCGTCTCAACTTGCTAACACTTTTCACTTCATTATCCATTCCATAAACTTTCTGTTTCCAAAGAAGATTAAATTAGGAATAACTGGCGCAGAATATTGTATTACTGTTAAGTAACTAGAATATATATGTTTATATTTCTTTTATCATAAGCTTTACATTGACTTATTGGCTATTATTGTATGACTTTTTTATTCTTAACTCATCCCAAATCTTTTGGTTACAGTCTCTCACACTCACAGTCACTCTTGGCTTGATCTTGTATAACGGCAATTTTTATTTTACGGCGTGATGCGGTCTAGTTTGCTTGTATATACTACGCATGTCTGGAATATATTATTTCTACAGTGGAGGCTGAGACTGTGTTCTCGACTCAACAGATAGGACAAGGCGCGAAGGACCAATGAGGATTTAGAGCTGATATAGGGCTACTAGTGTTGTTTAACGTTTCACTGATCTAGCACAAGGACAAGGTCATATAAGTCGGTATTCTGACTGGTGATTTTGTCACGTGATAATTGACGGTGGAAAAAGTCATAACAAAACCCCTTAACAAGATAAACGAGTCTTCAAAACTCAATCAGTCAAAATTCGTGGCATAGACCAGTTCGGTTCTTTTCTGTCCAACACTTTTGATATTCATGCATACATTCACACATACATAGGGAGGAGTAATCGTGATCTCAACATTAGGGTGAGTGAACATGTACCGAAATGGCTTCAGAAACAAATACAATCAAGTGACCCGATAAGAGCAGAGGATAAACATCCATCATCCTCTATTGCTAAACATATAATTGAAACAGGTCACAAGATTGATCTAAATTCAGCTTTTGTAGTGCTGTATAAAAGTGTAAAAGGGCGTATACTAAGGTTCATTGAAGCCTTAGCCATACGAAAATTCAAACCCCCTTTATGTGTTCAAAAACAGTTTGTTCTTACCTTAAACCTACCCTGGTAATATTGACTTATTATCCAGAGTGATTAGGTTTCAAATTGTGTTCACATTATTATTATTACTCTTATCATTATCCTTATCTCCTCTTACCCCGTTTCCTGTCTAGTTGACCTTTTATTTTTATATATAAATGCTCTTAACAAGTATATGTGTGACCAGATTGTTCGAAATGTATTGCGCTAATATATCACATAGTTCTGATAATCTTCGTCTTCTAATATCATTATCGAAACATTTAATTGTGTTTAGTGTTCTGAAATATCAGCAAACAATGAATGTTGTTATGATCAGTTTGGAATTGAAATATTTAAGTTTTCATTTACTGGTAAATCATGTGCAAGCTTCTCTCAATGACCAATCAGACATACGTCTTACCAACCCAGCTTATTTTGACCTTAATCTAAACTAATCGCGTTAATGAATGTAAGACAAATATCATTAACCAATCATATTAATGTCTGCGGTCGTGGTCAGAATGAAATTTTTCAATGTCATTTTACATCTGAATTATGTATACATAACAACTACCGTGACGTCAGACACTTGTGGGTGATTTCAAAGACTAAGAAACAAGTATTGAGGCTTCTGTTCATATTCTCGATTGGTGTTTGTTAGACTTTATTGATGGAAAATGGCTCAATGTGTACCTCCTACAAACAGTGTACAAGAATGTGAATTGAGGACATCAGAAATACCGACTCAACAATTCATCGCCACCAAACTTAGCGTAGATGAAATATTGAATAGGTATGTTGGAGAATATGGAGTTTGGCAATGGAGTATTGTGTTGCTAATAGTTTTAAGTTCTCCTCTAATGGTGACGTTACCTGTATTTGTTAATGCAGTACCTGACCATCGTTGTCGGATGGAAGATCCTATCGAAGAAATATTCAGAGAATACAATTTAAGTTTTGAGGAAGCCGCTGCATTTGTGGGTCCATGGGAAGGTGAAATTCCTGTAACAATGATGGGTTGTCTGAGATTTGCATTGGACTGGAGCAATACAACCCTCATCGAAAACCTACTTTTGAATAAGTCGGTTGTTTCATTTATCGATCGTGAATCGTTGAAAACTAAAGCGTGTGTCAACGGTTATGTATATAGAAGTAAAGAGTTTCAATATCCCAGTACTGTGGTAGCGGAATTTAACTTGGTTTGTGATAAGAGTATGCTTTCGCCTCTTGGAACCTCTCTTTTTATGGTTGGAATGTTGTTTGGATTCATTTTCGGTGGTTATTTTGGTGACAAATTCGGCAGACGAAACGGTGCAATTGTATTCTCTATCATTGAATTACTTGCAGCGGTTGGTGTTTCCTTAGCCCCTAATCATCATATCTATCACCTGATGAGAACAATTGTTGGGTTTTCTAGTACAGGAAAAGCCGTCCCCCTACGCCTATTACCAATTGAGCTAACTAATGCCAAATATCGATCATATTTCACATCGTTCATTGTTTTGGGAATTGTATTTGGACATCGTGCTATAATGACTGGAATAGCTTATTTGGTACGAGAATGGCGTCTTCTCAACGCCCTGTCAACGCTACCATGTCTCACATGTTTCATATACTTTTGTCTTTTACCGGAATCACCACGATGGCTATTATCTCAGTATCGTGTTGAAGAAGCCATCACAATATTGAGAAGAGGGTGTCGTATCAACCACATTTTGAAGAAAGACAAATCAAAATTATCACAATTCGACAATTACCTGAAAGATTTAAACAAAAACCAATCTCATATGGGAAAGTTATATGTCCATAGTGAACCTATAAGTGTTTCTGAACGATTTATTAATTTATTTAAATCAACCAAGAAAATTATTTGTTGTAGACAAATGAATAAAGCACTCATAATATGTGTTCTAATATTTACGATGCATTCGCTTGCCTTTCTGGGTATCACACTATTTAGTAAGTACATCAATTATAATGTTTATATAGTAACTCTTATCAATGCATTAACTGGCATTCCAGGACCAATTGCTGCAAGTGTAGTTTATAGATGTTATAAGTATAGACGATTTCCATTAATGTGCACATATATAATTTCTGCTATATTATTATGTATTGGTGGTGTTTATACAGTATTATGGGAACCACTGACTGATAATGTATTGAATATATTCTGTAATGGTGCTCTTATTATGTATTCTGCTTCAACGATTATGCTATCGATTTATTGTGCTGAATTATTTCCATCATATATGCGTTCAAGCGCTGTAGGCATATCAAATGGTCTAGGTAGAATCGGTGGGATCATTTCAACACTTGTAAATTATACTGATTTTACTTTTAAACATGGTACGCCTGTACTGATTTATTCCGGTTCCTCAATGCTTCAAGCTTTCCTACTATACTGTTTACGTGATACAAGCGGTGAAGATCTTTCTGATGTTGACAAATGCATAGAATCTGCAACTGATGATCATGTTCATCAAAATGGATCTAATAAAAGTATTGATGCAGGAAGAGAAGAGTTTGTAATCAATTTGAAAACATTAGAAGACCGAATAAAATCGTCACCAACAACTGTAACTAATCTCTAGTATTTTCACATTTCTAAATGATACAATTTTAATGTAAACTAACTGATCCCAATAAAATTTCTTGAATTATGTTGTCATTAAATTTCATTATCTTTGTTAGCTATGTCCATAAACAACCAATCAAATCGTTGCCTTAGCTCCCACCACATTCATCTGGTCTGATGTGTCTGTAAACTTTCCCTGATGCATGTGACCTGCCAACTGAAAGACATTATTATCCTATTATATTAGTGTGTTTCATAATTTATATCCATTTTGATTGGACACGCAATACTTGTGGGCACGTATGTGCCGTTTCAATTAATGACTGTAATTCCATTAATTATTGTACTGGTCTAATTGTTTGAAGTTTAGAAACAGATAAATTTTGAGGCGATGGTGTCGTTCTTCTAACTATAGAGTTTACATAGAATCTGGGATCGCCAGTATCGCGTTTACAATTCTAGTAGTTTATTTGTAGGACGAATTAAGTCCTACAAAGTTTCTACCAGTATCTCACCAGAACTTCTTACGTTGAGTGCTGTTAAATATTTACGAAGAAGAATCGAAAGACTGTTCAGACTCCTGAATTGCCGCCCCACTATGCAGGAACTCATAGTGATGACGAATTTAAAGGAAACGGCTACCGAATAGATCTCTTGTTAGACCTGGAATTAGCTAAAGTACTTTTAGTTCAGATAGAAAGAGATATTGAGCTAGAAAGGTTAGGTCAAGATGGAAGAGAACATTATAATCAAGTTGTGGCTGACAGGGTGATGTTGTACGAGTCTACATCTGCTTCACGTGTAGTTGGTGTTCCTCCTGAAAGGAACTGCATCATAATGATATGTAAAGTTTAGACCTACCAAGGAGAGAGATCATAAGGTTTGATGGTAAGCCAATAACCTATTGGAGTTTTATAAGGAGTTTCGACGACTTTTAATGAAAGCGTTGGATCCCGATCTAGGTTAAACTATTTGATTCAGTATTGTGATGGTGAAGCTAAGTCTACTATTGTTCATTGCCCGAGCCAAAAGAAGGCTATCGTATAGCGTTAGAGCTTCACGAGGAGGCCACAATTAGTCTTATTCACTACCACTATTGGTGCAGCCCGTTCCGAGAAGTTCACTGGTTCAATGACACCCAATTTATGAAGTCGATCTAGCTCTTGTTCAACCACTAGGAGGGCAGCATACGGTACACACCTCTTAGGTAGAAACACTGGCTTCGATCTCTGTCGAGAGGTAAGAGCAGCTCTAAATTTAGTACATTCTGCAAGACCCTCACTAAATACCAATTTACCTCGTTTTATTAATGCTTCCACTGAGTTTTCTCCTCAACTTTCGACATACTGATGTTGTTGCGGATCGGTTTTATGGGACGGTCTGTTAACTTCAGCCTATCTATCCAGTCAAGCCCAAATAAGTCGAGTGATAGACGATCCATCAAAAATATTACTCCCTTCTCCGTAAATTCCTTGACTGTGACTTCCCAATGAATCTCACCAATACTGTTTAGCATTCCCCAGGATGCACTGTGTCCTGATTGATGAGTTGAACATATTCACAGTCTTTTAAGCGTTATATCGGAAGCTGTATCTAAGTGTAAGCGGGCGTCAAACTCATTATTCTTGAGAGAACTATACTTTCTACAGTTATGGGAGCCGGTTCTGTTAAGAACTGCCGTTACTTTGGCTTCCCGCCGTATTCAGTAGATACTTCGTGTAGGGTCATGCTAGGACAATGTTCGAGCTTGCTTAGGATGTCAGCATCCTCGAGTGAACACAGGCTACAGTCAAATGCTAGGTATTTAAACTGGTCTTCTGTCACGGAAGGCAACTTGAACCTCTCACATTTTCGGTTCACAATTGCTGCATGTTTCACCCAGTCATCTTCTGGTTCTTGCGTTATCTTCAAGCATAGGTAAGGGGTGTTAAATAAAGGTGACTGTTCTCCAAAGAGTTGAGACAGGGTTTTAATTGTTTCGTCAAAACTAAAGTCTCGTGGGTTCTTTGGAAGAATAAAGTTACTATGGCGTTCATGTTTCGTCGTGCTAAGTTTTCTTAGAAGCATTCTGACTTTTGAGGCGTCATGCAGTCTGCAGAGATCAGTATAGAACAAACGTTCATATTTCTTAAACCAAGAGTCATGAGTAACACTTGCTACACCATCAAAATTAAATCCATGGATTGCTTTAATCACTGAATCAGTATGGGGTGCTTGTAATTCACCAGAAGCAGGGTTTTTCTGGGACAGGCACAATTTCTGCATAAGGGCTTCCATGATTCTGACTTGAAACTGATCGAACCGCTTCTCTTGACGCTCCATATAATCTTCTAGTTCCTCGAAAGGAATATTCATCATAGTTTTCCCCATCGCCACTGATGAGTCTGCTTATTGAACGCTCGTTTAGGTTCCTAAGCTTTTCCAGTAAACCCCAGACTACTTCTACACAGAAAATGGAACTCGAGAGAAAATGCGCGTAATATGGCAGAGATGCTCCACTCCAAAGGTTTGCTTATGTACAGAAAATCTAGGGTTTTCATAATATTTTAGATAGCCTGCGGTTTCCGGAAAATTCAGGAACGCTATTAAACATATTAGCAATATAGATAATCATTTGATCAGAAACTTGACATGTGAATTCTGGCAAAATTTCTAGTGAATGCTGATTGGATAAGATGCTTCTCAGAGGTTTCACAGGAACTTTGTCTATTTTTAGATCATATTAATTTGTTGAAAAATATGGTCGTTATAAACACGATCTATATGACCTATAATATTGAAACCTAACAAAAGGTTAGTTTTAGAAGTATTGCTTTACTCGTGATCCTGTTTTCTTGATAGCACTATTACTTTTGTGGCATGTGCTACTGATGTCGACAGATATAAGTAGTATGTATCATCAATCGAAAGTGAAATGCCTGGTGACAGAAGGTTAAGAAGATCGAAGGAAAAAGAAAGAGAACACAGAATGATCGGTGTGGGAACGAAAGAGCAATGAAATCTGATAAATTTTTTGTAAATGAAGTATTTAAAGTATGGTTCTCAAATTTTACTAATATACTCTGTAATTTTGTATTCAAATACATTTGATTGTCCCCACTTGTGCTCTCGTTCACTACAGTATTACCACATGACTTGAAATAGATACGCACATCATCGACATCTAATAAATATTAACCACAGATTTCTGTGCAAACTAATCAAGAATTTACGATTCACTTACATGTACTGACTAGTAGTGACTGAATTACTGATTCTTAAATAGTTATTGTACAAATGGAGAATTGCACTTATCCTCAAGTGAACAAATAAATCTGACAAGTTGTAGCCTTTCCTCCTAAGCATTTCCTAACAAAAATTCATATCAGGTAAGAGCCAGTCATGTGTGATTTCGATGTCTTAAGTAGAAAGAATTTTTCATATCACCTGGAAACATTTCAAAACAACCAGAATCACTTTGATTTTGTTGAATTTACATGCTGATCAATAAGTAAATGAAGTTCCATTCCAAGTAGATTAAGTTGCTTACACCAGTCTCAGATTATTCAATTATGGAATTAATTTAAACAAAGTCTCTCGATAATAAACATTGGGAAAATCACAAATGCTTTGTTGAAAGTGTTAGTGCTTATGTTTTTAAATGAAACTAACTTCTTATTGTTTATAGGACTCCTTCTCTTTATTACACTGGTTAATGTAATTTGAATCGACTCTGCAACAACTATCCAAATCAGTCTTCAAACACTGATTATTAACAACCGAAGAGCTTTGAAATGTGATACTATTAAAATATGGAGCTCTTCCAAATTTCAGCCTTTAATCAGTGATAATGCTCTGGCTAATATTAATTGTATGTATGTAACATTTTTATAACTCTGATGGAGGAAATGATCACACAGATGTAAAATAAAATAAACATAAATAAAACTGGCACATCTATAACGTTTCATATCAAACAAGTAGCAATCATAACTACTGATTTGTAAACTACGATTAGTAAAATATGAAATGATTTGTGTACTACACGTGATCTATCGATTTTTAAGTGTGATATCAATACAAACTTTTGAAAGAGATCAATGCCGTGTACACATACTGATGATAAAAGTTCAAGGAAATGTTTGAACTGAAGAGTGATGAACAAATCAACCAGATTATTTAGTGCATAATGCACAAATCACACATCTATATAATGATAAAATTTTCAGTTGGTTAAATTAGGTGAGTAAACTTACTATCACCACAAGACTCTAATTGTCAACTTGATAGAGACATACTTTAACACTTGCTTGACAGACATGGATCCATGTGAAGTGTTCTGAGGGATAAAATTCTCATGAACATGACCACAGTCAAACAATTGATCCTATAAACATCAAATACGAAACAATCAGTGGCTTATTATACAGAAGCACCTCATCAACTCTAGTCAATTTTTCTTTTAAAGAGAAATCGTCTTTTAAAATAATTTACACAGTGAGAAGAATGCGATCAAATGGAGGTCGAATGCAAAGACTTATACACTACTGAGGTGTTAGCAATTCACCAATTTAAGTCTGAACTTTCAGTGCGAGAATATTAAATAAACGAATACTTTGAATTATCTGGTGTTAGCTGGATAGACCTGATCAACAGGAGGTCCTGTACCTGTCTTAGCTACAAAGAAAATTTCATATCATCTACTTTTTCTGTTAGATAATAAATTTGTTAAAAAGAGTTTCCTCTTAACTATCAATGTCAATCTCATGCATATAACATATAACAGATACCAGACTAGAATTTTCACCGAAATAAATTCCTCTTGTGACCTTTTATTTTCAAAGTTACGTAATCTTATTAAGATGAGTTAGGGAATGTGATGAAAACAAATTTGTCAGTTAGTTTCTTCGTGTGTTTAATTAAAGAAAAAAGTAATACGTGGAATTCATGAAGTGTATTTAATTTGAGTAAATAAATTAAATCAATAAATCATCAGATCAGGTAAAAACAAACAAACAAACAAGCTTAACCAAATGGTGAATGATTAAGTTAATTATATTTTTACAATGTACATTAATGACGATTATTGTGAATGAGAAAATATCTGAATTAGACAGAAGTAAAAAATAAATGAAAGTTATAAATATTTATTTTTGGATGAAAATGTTATTCAACAAAGATTTAACCAATAATATAAAAATCTATAGAGTTTTAAGATGAAAAACAATTTAGATGTGTATAGAAAGAGTAGCAGTTAAGAAATGATGCATATTGGAGTACGGTGCCATTTGAACTTTATATATAAATCTGGTATTAATTTATGTATAGTTAGTGAAGCCTAACGTCCCATCTACTCCAGATAAGCGAAAGTGGGTTCATACTGACCAGTAATTTCTTGGTCCTTAAA